AGAAGAAAGAAAAAGAAAAAGAAAAAGAAAAAGAAAAAAAAGCCAAAACCATGCTGTGGTGCTGTTTGGACACCCAGAGTGGAGCAGGGGATGTGGGGCAATACAAACTGCGTCCCCAGCAAGCCTCTCAGAGCGCAGAGCTGGCAGCCAAACGGTGTGTGCAGGACCGGCTTGCCGCAGAAGGAAAAGTGGGGTGTGCCGGGGTCGGGCAGTGCCGCCCACAGAGCTATCTGGGCAGGCCAGCAAGATGCCCACTCCCACTCAGGCCGCAGGAGGAAGGCGGAAGTGGAGTAGAGGGAGGCATACGTGAATGAACTGATGCAGGGATGCATGTGTAGTTCTGGAGAGGCGGGTGGTAGCTTGGATTTGCACACGAACAGGTGGGCACATGTGTGTGCAAGCGGGGGCTGGGCGGGTGTGGGGGCCTGCACAGACTGGGGGTGGCCCAGGAGGGCTGTGAGCGGGCTGTGGGTGATGGGTGGAGAGTGTGTGCAGTGCAGATGGCCCGTGGATGTTGCCCAGGGGGATAAGATCATGGCCCAGCAGGTGAGGAAGGGGGTCAGGGGTGAGAAACCACAGACCAGGAAGGAGGCGCCCCTGGAGTGCCCACCTGCAGGCCCATATCAGACCCAGGGTGGAGCAGAGTTCTGGGCACCTGGCTGGAAGTCTTCTAGACCAGTGGTAGCACATCTATGGCACGCGTGCCTCGGCCAGCTGTTTATTATCATTGAAAGCTCTAAAAGGTTCGACACCGCTGTTCTAAAGGAATGTCACCCTTCTTCCCAGGGCCCATTTAGGGAAGGCAACTGCCAGGTGTGTCCTCAGGAGGCACTTCCTGGTGAGGACTGAAGGGCACAGAGGCATGGTGCTCCTCTCTCAGTTGGGGTGCCTTTCGTCCAGGGGGCCGCAGAGCAGGCTGTCCGGGGTGTAAGGCAGCTCCTTGGAGAATATTTCCTCAGGGCTTGTGTTCTGCGAGAATCTGCACCCTAAAGGTGCGGTGAATCTCCAGCCTGGGAAAGATGAGGAGCAAAGGTCAAGTGCAGTGAAGTGGGGGTGCAGCCCCCGTGCTCTGGGTGAAGGGGTCGCTGCAGGCCTGGGGGTCCCAGGGCGGAGTGAAGCCTGGGCTGCAGTGGGAAGAGCGCTGGGTTTGGAGTCAGGCACCTGGGCGTGGGTGCTCCTTCCTCTGGGCGCCTCTGTGGCCCCTCCCACCACCCCCTGCCCCTACCTTGGCTCAGTGCCCTGTCAGCCTGAGGGTGGGTCTGTCTCTCGCAAGGCCAGAGCTTCCGGGGAGGGGTGCGTGGCTTGCTCAGCTTACCATGTTTGCACACAGTGGTTAGAGAGGAGAGCCACATCTTACAGCAGGGACAGATTGCTTTCTCCTGGGACCTCTAGTTCCTCCTCTCGAAGGCAAAGGCTCCCCAGTGGAACGAGGAGGGAAGGGCAGGTTAGGGCCAGACTGTAAGACCGTGAATGCCAGGAAATGCTTCCTCTTGTGAGTGACCAGGTCACTATCTGCAAAGCCCTCAAGTAAAGCCAGACACAGGACAGGGCAGTATTTGTCTGCTCTTCTTGGAATTATTTTGACCCTTGTTACTGGCCTTCTTTGAGGGAACTCTGTCTCTGCCCCGCAGGAGCGGCTGGTTCCCCGAGGCCTATGTGAAACCGTTGGAGGAGGTGGCTGTGAATCCCATGACCCCCTTGAGCCCCGTGACTGCCATAAACCCCATGAGTCCCATGAGCCCCATGAACGAGCTGTCTTCCAGGTACCTGGGTGGGGTGGGGCTCCCATGGGGGTGCACCTGGTCAGTCCTGGATGCATTCGTGAGGTGCAGTCTTGGGGCCCTGGCCCCTTCAGTCCTCACAGAGCCACCCTGCCACTCTACCTCTTCCCACCGAAGGCCATCATGTCCCCCATCTGCCTCTTCCTGGGGGCAGGGGTGGGACCCAGCAGCTGGGGTCAGAGCAGCAGGACCAACCCTGACCCCTTTTGCTCCCCTCCCTCCTCTGCACTCAGGTCCTACCCACTCCGGGGCAGCCACAGCCTTGACGACCTCCTGGACAGGCCAGCCAACTCTACAGTGTCCCCAGAATACTGGGACGGCCAGTCCCGCTCCCGAACCCCGAGCAGGGTCCCGAGCCGCGCCCCCAGCCCTTCACCCACACCCTTGCCTGGCAGCCGCCGCGGCAGCATGGGCAGCATGGGTGCAGCCAGTGACGTCAAGGTGAGGGCCCCTTGCCTGTCCTCAGCCCTGGACAGGGAAGTGGGGGCAGAGCGACTCCCTGTCCTGCTAGTGGCTGCCAGGCAGGGGACCCTCCGCGTGGGTCCTGCCTGGAGCACGGACAAAGACCTTCACCCTGCTCAGGGCAGAAAGACCAGGGTCCTGGGCCAAAGCACTGCTGGGACTGCACAGCAGGGAGGGCATCTCCCCACGGGGTCTCCCCATCCTGTCCCGGAGGGTGGTTGGTGGAGGAGCTGGTCCTGGCAGAGCCCAGAGCTGTGTCAAATTTGAAACCAGAGAATTCTGGCCTCCCACTGCCAGGTCTCCTCTCCCAGAGTCTGCAAGGCGGGCTCTTCTGGCCCAGCGCCTCCTGAGGCGGGGACAGTGAGAGGAGAGGGGGACGGTGTTGCCCCTTCCTCACCCACCCCGCCCTTCCTCCCGCAACCGCAGAAGGTCATGGCCTGGGAGCAGCACCCCCCGGAGCTCTTCCCTCGGTGAGTCCCTGCCCTCGGCAGAAGGTGGGGAGCAGGTGATCCCATGGTCCTGAGCTGGCGGCAGGAGGGGGACTCCCGGGCCGGCTGCCCTCCCTGGGTGCACAGCCAGCTGGGGATCTAGGCCCCTCTGACCCTCGCCTGCCCTCTCCAGGGGCACGAATCCCTTTGCCACCGTGAAGCTGCGTCCCACTGTCACCAACGACCGTTCGGCACCCCTCATCCGCTGAGGTCATTCCTCCATCGGGGTCTGAGGTAGAACTGCACGCCTGCCCAGGGCCGTTCAGAGCTGGCAGCGGTGGCGGTGGCAGCAGTGGCTCCGAGATGCCTGGGCCCTGACGCCCGGGCGGCCATCCTTCCCGGACCACTGCAAACCTGAGCAGCTCCCTGGGTGCTGACATTCGGTCTGGGGCCTCCAGAGGACAGCAGGCAGAATTGGGAAACGGAGCAGTTTCTTCCTTGCAGGGGCCCTGGGACTCCCGGGGGCCGCACACTTCTCCCCAGCCTCCTGCCCCTTCCCTGCCCCTGTGCCACACCCGCGCCTGCACAGGGTCCCACTGAACCTCCGTAGGCGATGAGCAATAAAGGACGTGGACATGGCAGCCAGAGTGGTCGTGTCATTTGGGGGACAGGGCGGGAGGTCAGGAGTGGGGACCCCCAATGGGGAATGAGGGCTAAAGGTTCCGAAGGTTGTGGCTACTCTCTGAGAGGCCCCTCATTTTGAGTAACTTTTTAGGGCTGCCCTCAGGCCACCCCTCCCAAGCTCTGCCCCAGACCCCAGGAAACAGTGGCTGCTCTATGAGGGGGGGTGACCCCAGCACCTTCCCCTCAGGCAGCCCCTGGACACAGCACCCTTTGTTCTGGCCCCTCCCCCCCACGCTGCGTGCCTGAGCCCCTGGATTAGGCTGATCCGGGAAGCCGGGAGCCCTCGTGGAATGTGGCTGGCAGGGGCAGACAAGAATTGGGGGCAGTGCCCCCCAGCACCAGATTAGGATCCCCTGGGCTTTGTCCTCTGCCTGAGGCCCCCAGCGTTAAGAGGGGTCCCCTCAGCCTTCCCTGGCCAGGGCAGGGAACCCCCTGCAGAGGCTGGCCCAGTGCTCATGGCCCATCCAGCCCTTCCCCTTCTCAGGCAAAAGCCTCTTAGCAGGATGGGGAGGAGGTGAGCAGGCAGCAGTGGATCTCGGGCTGCTAGTGCAGGGGAGACTGAGCCCTAGCGGGGTCGTGCCACAGGAGCCTGCGAGGCCGTTCCTCTCTACAGGCCTTGGGCGATGAGGCTGATGCCCAGAGCGAGACAGGCCCGGTGAGTGCAGGGTGGCCGCTGCGGGGACCTGGGGCCAGGGCAAGAGGGCACGGTCCCAGGTTCCCCTGGGGAGGGGGCACAGCCTTGCCCAAGGCCAGTAAGGATACCCCAGGAGTGGAGGGTGCAGGGTAATGAGGCCTGGTGCGCCCTCCTGGTCTGTAACCAGGAGGCGGGTGCTGCAGAGAACCCCTGGGCGGCACCCCAGGAGTGAGAGGCGGGGGAGCCAGTGTTGGTGGGTGGAGGGCTTGGGGGCTGCTGGGGGTCCAACCCCCTTCTGCAAGGCTTCTAGCTAGCCAAGGTGAGATCAGTCACCCATCTTACAGGTGGGGAAACTGAGGTTCAGCAAGGGGAGGGGCCTGGGGTGATCCACACCTCAGCTCCCTTCGCTTCTGAGACAGAGCTAATGTTCCGTGTGACCTGGGTCCCCCTTAATGTTCCAATGACAACCGTCACTCCCATCGTCAAGAAAAAGTAGGAACACAGAGTAAGGCCAGTAGGAAAATAACGCAGAACCCACTCTGCAGCTGGCACCTGTCCCACGGGGCATTTGTTCTGATTGTCCAGAGACCCTCACACCTACTCGCTGAGGACACTGGCTGTCCCCCAGCACACCTCTGCGCACATACTGGCTGCCTGGCTCTCACACCACATCCCTTCTGCCGTCACTAGGTCCTGACGGGAAGAAGCCCTCCCAGGGGAGCCTTCCTGAAGCCGAGTCTCAGGTGGGACACCCGGTGCCCTGCGGCACGCTCCACAGCCCCTGGTGGGGAGAAAGGGTCGGGCTGAGCCTCGGCACTTTCCCCTCCTGGCTCGCTGCAGAGAGGGATCTCCGGGTAACTCAGGGCCTCGGTTTCCCCTCGGTTTCCCCAGGTCTCCATCCCGCTTCTCTGGGCTCCACAGACCCTGCCACTTCCTCTCGTCCCCGTCTTCCCCAGCAGAGGCCGTGGCGATGGGAGCTGGCGGCCCCCGGCGGGGTGTGGGCCCCCCAGACGGCGGCTGGGGCTGGATGGTGCTGGCCGCCTGCTTCGTGATCACCGGCTTCGCCTATGGCTTCCCCAAGGCCGTGAGCGTCTTCTTCCGCTCGCTCATGCGCGACTTCGGCGCCGGCTACAGCGACACGGCCTGGGTCTCCTCCATCATGCTGGCCATGCTCTACGGCACGGGTCAGCGCTCTCCCGGCCCGCCGCAGGGCCCAGAACGGCGGGTGGGATGGGGGTGGAGGCTGAGAGATCCGTCCCTGCGCAGGAACCCCCTGCTTCCTGTGGACACCCTGGCAGCAGAAAGAGGAGAGGAGGGGGCAGGAAAGGGCCAGGGGCCAGGGTAGAACCCGCCCAGGCAGGGACCTGGCCAGCTCTGTCCCAGCAGACCCACGCGAGTGTTTCAGCAGTGAGCAAACAGATCTAAGGGAAACCCCTGCTCCACGGCCTCAGTCGCCTGTGTGGGGGTGCGGAGCGGGCGGGCTGGGGCGCTGGGGGAACCCAGCCGCGGGGAGACCTGCCCGGCGGGGACGTGGAGCCTGTTTAGATAAGGAGGCGGTGGAGGCCACGGTGCTGAGGGGCCTGGCTCTGGGACGGGCGGGGCCGAGGGGCTCTGGGCCGAGACGCCCACACCTCCCGGGTCCGCGGGAGCACGCCCCCCGCGTCCGGGCCTGGGCAACCGATCCCTCCGGCGCCACCTTCCAGGCCCGGTCCGCCTGGCGGAGGGTCGTGCCCGCCGTGACCGCGCCTGCCCACAGGGCCCGTGTCCAGCGTCCTCGTGACGCGCTTCGGCTGTCGCCCGGTGATGCTGGCGGGCGGGCTGCTGGCCGCGGCGGGCATGATCCTGGCCTCCTTCGCCAGGCGCCTGCTGGAGCTGTACCTGACTGCCGGGGTGCTCACAGGTGAGGGCGCCCCGCGTCCCCGGGGTGGGGCGGGGCGCGGGGGGGCCCTGCCCGAGTCCTCCTGGCCCCGGTACCCCTCGAGGGGCGGCGCGATGCCCCCTCCTCGGCTTCCCCGACCGCACAGCGCCGCCTCGCCCGCAGGCCTGGGCCTGGCCCTCAACTTCCAGCCGTCGCTCATCATGCTGGGGCTGTACTTCGAGCGGCGGCGGCCTCTGGCCAACGGGCTGGCGGCGGCGGGCAGCCCCGTGTTCCTGTCCGCGCTGTCGCCGCTCGGCCAGGTGCTGCTCGAGCGCTTCGGCTGGCGCGGCGGCTTCCTGCTCTTCGGCGGCCTCCTGCTGCACTGCTGCGCCTGCGGAGCCGTCATGCGGCCGCCGCCCCCC